AAAATGTCATTTATTATCTCTCATTTGTACGCTAAATCTTTTATAATTCGATACTTTAATGCGTAAAGGAAACGAAGAGGTGTATTATATCCACATACCTAATAATGAAGAATTACATCGATTTGTTGGTACATGAAATGAAAATTGACCTGACGTTAAAAAGGTTATTATAAATAAATTATAATAAAACTGTAAGGGGGTAATATAATACATTATAGAAAATATCAATATTATGAGATAAAATTTAAGAGGAGATCTCTGATTATTATCCCTTAAAACAAAATCAAAGAGAATAATCTTCAACTTAAAACATTATACTATAAGGAAAAGGCACATCTTCCTTCCTTTTTACCGTGATTTTTTTGTTTTTTTTTTTCCTCCTGTTTTTGCTCCACTTTATTTGTTATATATTTGAATTTATGTCACCCTTATCAATTTTATTTTGTATTATATTTTTAAAAATATTTTTAAAATATTTATATTAAGAATAAAATATGAAGAAAATATTAAAAATAATAATAATTTATTTTTTAAAATAATGAACAATTGCTTACGCTAATTTCTCTCTTTCCACTTTATTTTTCTACCCCTCCTTGCCCTTTTTATTTTAAATTATTTTTTCGAAAAAGGTATTTGGGGTGCCCCCTAAATTGGAAGCATGGCGGTGGGAAAAACCTTTTCCGTGTGGCACCCAACACCTATACAAATCACATGGCTCCCCATCATTCACTACCAAATAATCCCTTTCCAAATTAACTATCCAATTAGGAATAATATTCATTTTAATATTATACTAATTAATCATGATTTTTTTGCCAACCACAATAGTTAATTAATTTCTTTATCTAATTCCTTGTTATAAAAGATTCTGTGAACTCGATAGTTGTTTATTATTGCAAATGATTGTCATTTGCCAGTAATTATGTTAAGTTAAAAGCCAAGCATTAGGATCAGTGATTGAAGCTCTATTTAGGGACACATTGATTAATACTTCTCCATTTATATAATGTCTTTGATTTTAATTTCTGTCTATTATAATGCTGAAAAATAGGGGTGTGTATCGGTCGGTTCGGTTCGGTTATAAGTATTATCGGTTCGGTTTATCGGTTTTTAAATATGCTAAACTGATAGTCAAACCAATAAGATATTTGTTATCGGTTTTCGGTTTATCGGTTTTAGGTCTTTAACGGTTCAGTTTTCGGTTTAACCAATAAGAAAATGCTTTCAAAATAAATATATGACTTATTCAATAATTTGACGCGACATGCATACATCGAAATAATCATTCCAAACGGGACAACAGGACCAACTTGTTGTATTTTGGTCATCACAACAAAGACTTGGTTAATTTTCGATCACCATAATATATAAAACGAGGTCCCCTTTAATGCAATAAAGAGAATCAAATAAAACCAAATCATAGACAAAAGTCAAAACAGTAGCAAATGAGGCCATGCTTATGGTAACTAAATGAAGTTCTAACGTTAATTTAAAAAAAAAAAACACACAATTTGAATTCTTGACGTTAATCAAATTGCAGATATTTACAATCGTGCAAAAGCTAATATTAGTCAATTATAAACTAACTAAAGTAAATAAGTAATAACTAAAAAGTAAAACCTAAAGGTTAAATAACTAAAAGTAGAGAGGAGAGTTAATTGTTAAGTAGTGTTAATTATTGCGTAGGGTATTTTTTTTAATATATTATATATATGTATAACTAAAAATTTAAATAGTAAATTATTATATTCTTAATGGGTTATCGGTTAACCCAATAACCCAATATTAAAAATCAATAACGAACCGATAACCCAATAATTTTTTTTTGTAAAACCATTAAATAACCGTTATTCCAATAACCCAATAACAATAAACCAATAGCAATTTTTTCGATTCGGTTTATCGATCGGTTTGGTTTTTGCACACCTCTCTGAAAAATGCAACTGTTGTTTTTATGATATGTGATGTTTATACAAGAAAGGAAAGATGTTAAAAAAACTAATTATAGTAAAACAATCTATATAGAAGTTCTTGTTAATTGATTACACCAATATTTGTTAATTACCGAGCATAATTTCAATTTTCTCTTTGTCGTATAATCATTTATTCTTTCAACAAGTGAGAACTTCGAATTCAAATTGTTATATTTCTCGTGAGAGCGAGAAAATAAGTCACTAGCCCATATTCTATCTAATTCATCCAAGAGTGGCTGATTACTAACCTACTAGCTAGCTTATGTATTAACTTGGCTCATTTCAATCCAACAATTTTGGATTGGTATTAGCTAACTCAAAATGATCTATGAGAAATATTGTTAAAATGTCTTTAAATGGTTTTTTTTTTAAAAATAAATTGATGTACTATTTATAATCATGATAAAAAAAAATTAAAACTTAATAATAATTGGACAAAGATTTTTACATGTTTTTAAGCTTATTTCAACTTAACTCATTTTGATCCGCTCAAATTCAGCCCTATCCACTAACTTGGCACTTATAGGCTATATCTGTCATATGCAATTGTTATTAGTATAATATATATTTCTAATCCCAATTTAGGCTCGCTCTTTAAAATAATGCTTCTTGAGTTTAAATAGAAACGGGTTCAATTAATTAATTATTTGTTTAAAGAAGTTGACATGAATTGTTCAAATAAAAATAGACCTATATATACTTATTTAGATTCCATAATAAGATAATGAAAATAATGGTTAGACTAGACAATTATTTTTCAATTTAAGTGGATATTTTTAAATACTAAATTAGAAAGTATCAAGATACTCGACAGATAGAAACTGTTGTACTTAGTAGTATTTTACTTGGATCATAATCCTTAGACAGTTCATTATTACTAGTAATATGGGAGGACATTAATTGCTTTGACTTTACTAATCTGCCAAGAGGCAGGAGTCCCTTTGAAATCATTGTAGATTCAACAATTATTTATTACTTATAAAATTTACTCTCTAAATATTATGTTAAAAAATAAATCTTTTTTCGAGAACTATATCGTTAAATAAAATGGTAAGATGTTTATTTTTTTGAAAGTAATTCACCTAAATGAAAATTTACAACAGTAAGATGCATGTTGGCAGACATGCATATGAATCCTTCTTGCACTCATATTCAATTGTTCGAGGAAGAGGTATATTGGCATCTTCACTAGTTGCCTTTCAACAGTTCTTCTCTGCTCGCACCTTCCCTTTAGTCTAATTGGCCTAATTGCTTTTTGAATCTTTTCTGCTCCTATTGATGTTGGAGGCATAAGCACAGCTATTTCATATGCTGCAAAGTAAGTCTTACTAGGATTTGTTAACCCGAGACTGACATTTGTCTTTCCTAGGGATGAGAAACTTTGTCTCGAAAGGGATGGAGCTTTCGCTGTGCATCAATAAGAAGGAAGAGTGGGATGCAACATTACTAGTACCAACTAGAATAGAATGGGATGACTGAGAATACCACATTCCCCTTTGTTCTTCTTCTGGTCCATAAAAAAAGCTAGAATGTAGGGTGGAAGGAAGGAAAGTGACTTCGTTTAGGTGCATAGCAAGGTAGTCCAATAGAGCTAGTAAACTAAGCTAATAGCAGGCATTCCGAAAGCAGAATTGAAACCCTTGAAGAAGGGTGGCTGGGTTCTTTAAATAAGAAGATTTCAAAAAATGAGTATGTAAAAATTATCTGGTGTTTTGTCTTCTCGATCGAGATTGGGTTAGCGAGGAAACAACAATAGATGTTCCTACGTACCACATTAATTCAATCACATAGTTAGTTGGACAAATGAACAGGGGAATGCTCACCAGTTCCCCCGATTTTGTCTTTAGAGATGAGTTACACCAGCCAATAAGGAGATATTTTGGGCTTATCGGATGCACTTCACTAGCAAGAGGGTCGACTGAACACCAAACTGATCTGATTCAGTTTTCGTATCCTGTTTACATGCAATTTGGCGGGTCAAGTTCTTCATCCCTCTCCTTTCAGTTGAGTCACTTCGTCCCTCTCAGGTGCAGATGAATATGCTGTTTAGCTTGGGACTAGGGCTTATGATCCTTCTCTTAACAATAGAACAAAAATAAAAAAGGAGCTCTCCTAACCTAAGCAAGCCGCGGAGTCGCAGACCATTGCTTTAAAGACGGGATGGAATCTTTCTTTCTCTTGGACGAGCATAAGGCTCTAAGCCTTTTGTTTACGACCTCCTAACAAGATAGCACCGATACGATCTCCCGCTGTGAAGTAGGAGGTTTTCACCGACAGAGCGCAATTAGACCACAGCTGAAAGAGAAGGACTTTCCATGGTACATTCTGTATCTTTCGCCCTTAGCTATTAGATTAGGCACAAATAATCTATATAGACCACCTGGCCTAGCAAAAGCAGGTTTCATTGCGTCTTGAGCCTTGAGAGGGCTTGAGTTTACGTGATATTTTAACAATATTTAAAGACATTTTAACAATAATTCTCATAGAACAATTGACCTGTAGAATTGTCTTTTCTGATGCATATGAATCCTTCTTGCACTTCTGAATTGGGCGTTTATTTGACAGACATTTACTTGTTGTCTTGTCTGGAATGTCCAGCTGAGTATGCTTCTTGTCCGCCAAAAGAGGGCAGATGGTTTTCGTGATGAACAGAGGCATTAGTGGATTCAGTAGATTACTTTACTTGACCCCCCTTCCATTAGTGTGCTCCAAAAAGGAGGAGCAAATAGGATAGGAGTGTGCACAGGTTCGCCACTGGACTCTTGCCCACCAAAAAAAAAAAAAAAAAAGACTCTTGCCCTCCGAAAAAAGAAAGAAAGAAGAATGAATAGATTATGAAATTTAAGCAATCTTAAAGGTGCCTAAGGGAGCTTATAAAACTACATATCTGGGTGACTGAAATATAAAGAAAGCTGAAACTAATTAAAGGAGCATTTGTGGCCCATTTCGCTTGAGGCCGCATTATGTTGGGGTAAGCAATCTTGTATTTCCAGCTGTCTAGGTTCATATCCTTTTTGTGGTTTTGACCTCATCTCCACACAATAGCTAGTCCAGTCCTGTTATTTGTAGTTATGCTATATACGTAATAGCGAGGTTCAAGAAGTTGGGAAATTCTGTTCAGAAAAATGAATCACAGTTATAAATTCAGAAACAAAACCTTGCTATTTCTGAACCTAAGTTCCAAGGGACTAGATTCTGTTAGCGCTGGCCATTTGGACAACCTCTAATGTTGGTTCCTCTTAACCAACCTTGTCAAAATGTAACATAAAAATTAGACCTTGTGTGTGTTTATATAGTGAAGGGATACTGCGTTTCTGATGGAGGAGAAGTGGAAGGACGAACACTTCTATTGCAGAGAAGTCACAAAACAAAGTAATGTAACTAGAATCTACCTCAACTTTCTCTGTAACTAGGTTATGTAGGTTTGTGATGGCTTTAATAGTAAAGGATATTTCTGTTGCCGGATTTAAGGTATCTGGTGGGTTTTACCTTATAAAGCAAGTTACATGGGAATTTGTTTATATTCTAGTTATGAAATTTTGTTTTGTGACTTCTGGCTATAAAAGATTAGTTTGGTTACCATCCATGAATTTTACCCTCAACCATGGCCTTGTAACATATGTGTCAAGTCTTTTTTCTCTCTAGGATGTTAACACCTCATTCTAAGTACATCTTTAATTTGTATTTTGATGTGTTGAGTACTTGCTGTTTATCAATTATGGTTGCTTACTTTTGCACTTTACAGGAGAATATCACTGATTGTTTTTATTTCAGATTGCAGATGTCTGGTCGTGTGGAGTGACATTGTATGTCATGTTAATGGGTGCTTACCCTTTTGAGGATCCTGATGAACCAAAATATTTTCGGAAGACGATCAATGTACATCTTTATCATTGTCATGATTTTGTTCCAATTTCTTGTGGATTTTTTATCACAATAAAATTTAATCTACTTTTTTGCTACACAGAGAATCCTGAGCGTGCAGTATTCTGTTCCTGAGAACATTCAGATATCTGAGGAATGTCGCCACTTAATCTCACGGATCTTCGTTGGAGATCCGGCACAGGTTAGTGAGGTTTTAAGAGTAATCAGTACACAGAAGTGAGTAGATGGAGTTTTGGAATGTTTCTATTGTGATTGCTTTTGGACTTCAATTATGATCTGAACCAATCTTGCTTATTGTTGTAGTTGCTGACCACCATCCAATTACATTGTATTTAAGGCATCTCTTTAAATATGTTATTCCAAGTTCCTTCTTATACAGACCAGTTTGACTGGCAGGAGGTTGAAGAATTTAATTTGACTAGTGTATTGTATTTGTAATAGTAGGAAATACATACACTAGTTATAGTAACTTAAACTGGGAAGAAGAGAACAATAGCCAGAATTTTATAGTTTCTTTAGGTGTGAAAAACATTTTGAGATATTGCAAAAAGGGTGTTACATGGTAGTCTTGAAGATAATATAGATTGTAGTTGTCACTTATGCTTAAGTTATCTTCCTTTGCACATGGCACAGAGGATCACAATGCCTGAAATCAGAAATCATGTATGGTTTTTAAAGAATCTTCCAGCGGACTTAATAGACGATAAGATGATTAGTGACCAGTTTGAAGAACCCGATCAACCAATGCAGAGCATTGATACGATCATGCAAATAATCTCAGAGGCAACAGTGCCACCAATTGGCTTGTATAACTTGGAAATGATGGACGATGACATGGACGACTTGGATTCAGAGCCTGATCTTGATATTGATAGCAGCGGGGAGATCATATATGCAATGTGAGTGCATGCCATGCTTGTGAAAAGGAAGTTGTATCTGCAATCTTACGAGAACATTTGTGGACTTGTTGATGTGCAAAGCTTAGGAGATTGTTGAATGCTCAGTAACAAGAACATGGGGGTATTTACAATGTTTGTAATTAGTCAAGTTCTTATCCTGGAAGGGGCTTTTAATCTGCCCATGAATTATTTCTTCTATCACCATAGGAGGAATTGGCTGAAAAAGTAATGGAGTTTCCATACTTGAGTTCATAATCTTTTTATAATGTCATACAGTTTTGTTATGTTGTAATTCTTGTACTTTCCTTATATGCATTTGTGTCAAACAAATCATGTGCTCTTTCTGGTTTTTGTAAGTTAAGATGCTTATAGTATTAGGGCTTGTGTATGACTATGTTTGTTAGCACAAATTTCCTCTGTATAGTTCTAACTAATCCTTCTGGTTGATTTTATATTTCCTTAGTAGTAAAGTGCGTTTCCCCTATAATGGTCAAGTGACATCGAAAGTTTTAAGACAGCTTTTATCGTAAGGTTGTACCATGAGGTGTGTTGGTACAAGAAATTATTGGAGGAGCAGAAAGAACCAGGACTTGATCTTTCTCCTGAAGCAGCTTCAATTTCTGTTTCAATTCATGAAGTGGGACTTCAAATCCAACCATAGAATCAGAAACTTGAGGCATATTAGACAATCCTGAAAACCCAAGACTAGAACCATTCATCCACCCTGAAGAACCACTAGAATTTGTAAATACAATACTACTCCCGGATCTCGTCAATGAAACATTCCTCAACATCGAGTGGATCTCCTCCAATATGTTGCGATTTTCAATAACATTAACCCGAGTCGATTTACTATCCCTAAGCAGCTGAAATATACCGTCTATCTGGCAGACCTTCATTAGTGAATTTTCCAACTTCGTTAGTTTTCTGGAGTAATTCCACTTCAAAGGGTCGTAGCTTTTAATCTTGGAACACTTGAGGACTAGGTCTTCACCTTTCATCAACTGCTTCTTAAACATGTCTATTTCTTCATCTCGGCCGTCTAGGGCCTTGCTTAGCCTCTCAATGTCATCGAATACTGGTTTGATGTAGATTAATGTCTGTTTCAAGCTTAGGAATTCGGAACGGAAAGTGGCAATGTTTACGCCAAAATCAACAACTACTTTGAGAAGTCGGTCGAATACTGGACCCAAAGCAGCTCCTCCCAAGAGAGCTGCTGCCATTGCTACGTAACACTGCAAAATGGATTATTTTGGGGAAAGTCTTGGTGAAGTGTAGCAGTAGGTCGTCTTCTAGATATTAAGGCATAGATTGGTGAGAAAGATTTTGGAAATGATCTTCAGGAAATGATCCTAAATCAAGGTAGCAGTCTCTTAATGTAGTTGTTTCTCTGCTGTAAAGAGCTTTTTCATCCAAGGCATCAATGCTGGCTTGCAAAGAACGAAGCAGATAATTCTCAGTAGGGAAGAGAATTTGCCTTTTTGACTGCATCATTACTCTGTTAAACCATGTCACCTCAGACTGGCCACACAATGAACGGCCTACAACTCTAAGAGCCAGTGGAAAACCGCCACAACTTCTCACCACCTGCCATTGCATTCCATCATTTAGATCCACAAAGCAGAGAAATTTATAAAGTTGTATGAATTCGGGAACTGTATATTTACAAAGATGCATTTTCACTCTCTAACGTTGCAAGCACTTGCACAATAGCGTTTTACATGTTCATTTCACATGTATTCATAACTAAATAATTAGTCAAAAGATCTTTGTAAAAGATAGCCTTTTACCTTATCAACAAGATCAAGTCGCACATCAGGGATGCCATCTTTAAAAGCTGAAGTGCAGAAGAGATGTTTTGCATCCTCCTCGCTCAAAACCTTTAATTTATATGTATCAAATTTTGGGAACACAAATCTCGAAGTGACCAAAATCTTAAAATCAGGTATCTGTAATTTAAGATGATCGATGACGGACTCTGATTCAGACCAAACATCATCAAGCACCAGTAATATTGGTTGAGAAATTCTCCTAAAGAGGTTATTGAGTTGGCAGATTGCATCGCCCTCGGTAGCAAACTCTGGGTAGCCGTTCTTCTCAAAGATTTTCCCAACAATGCGATTGATGTTTGGTGTTTTGGTAACAGTGACAAAAAAGATGTTGTCCCTGTATATGGCTATTAAGAGACAATTAGATCAAATATGCTGAAAATCAGCAAGAAGCTTAATATAACATAAGAACATGATACAGCATTAATATCAATTAGTCTTGCCATAATTTCAATAATCTGCATAGCCAATAAGTGGAATCACAAGAAAAATAATCTACTATATTTTTCCTTTTATGGGGTCAGCAAGCTAGTCTTTAGGTATGAAGGGCTTTCTTCCACACACATCA